TTTAATGTTCACCTGCCATGTATAACCCTCCCTCGCCAGCCGGGCGCCAGGGTGCCGGGGTCATCGGGAAGTGGACATTACTTGCGAGAACGCTACAAGCTACACCAAGAGAAGGACATGGGTAAAGGGGCCTCCTGCTCTCGCTGCTGCAGGTGTTTGTCTTGCCTGCTCAGCCAAGCAGACACATACCCTAGCGAATCTGACAATGCGCGCCACTTTCGGCCACTTTCGGCCTCCCAATTAAAAATGATGAAGACCCTGTCCGCCTCAACATCCAACCCTATCACCTGCACTCGCCAAAAACAGAGCACCGGGCCGGTGGCAAAGCGAAGCAATGAGCTTCTTCTGCACAGGGGATAGCTTCAGGTGGCGCTTCTGCATCGCCAGGGGCTCGAATGCCTCCTGGAGCTCCTGGCAGGGCTTCTGCTTTAACCTCTGCCTTACTTTCCTATTGCTTTACTTCTGCTTTGCTATTGCTTTGCTAAAGCTCATGGATCTCTGCCTGACGAAGCGCTCTCTGAAAAGTGGGGCTGATCATCCAAGCGTACCCACTTTTTGCTAGACTGCAGTTTTGCGAAAGCGTTTGCAGTGTACACTGCGCATGGTTCTACATCTTGTGCGCCCTTCTTCACCCTCAACCCCGAACCTCTGAATGGTAGACTTCTGAACACCGAAGCACCCATCATTGCTGCCTCGGCCAAAACTCGGCCTCTGCTGCTGGTGCTACTGCCTCCCTCGGACCTCGGTCAGATAGTGAGAGGGTCTGAGAGGTGCAGAAAGATTTTGCAACGAGAGAGAGAACAGCGCCAGCAGCCACCAGAAGGCCCACAGCGGCTTCTGAGGCCCACGGCCAGCTGCTGGGATCCGCCGTGCTGGGCTCACTCTCGCCCTCAGAAGTGCACGGGGGGCAGTCTGGGACAGGGCATTTGGGCTGGAGGGAGAGCGCGGGCCTAGGCTGCAAAGGGCATCTCACACATGGAGCACACTCAACATCATCACTCGATTGGTAAGGAAGCCTAAGCAGGTCCCAGCCCCTGTACTTCCCACAGCCTCCGCATTGAGCTTCTTGACTGGCGACGGGCAGCAGAAAAGAGGGAGAAGGCCATGCACAGCAGATTGGCAGACAGGTGGAAGCACGAAACACAAAGCTGTTGTCAAGCAGCATGTTTGCACCATTCACGTCTTCGGGCTGCAAGCAGCAAGTGTGCTAGAAATCCGCTCGGATATCATGGATAGTGCTTCAAACAACCTCACTCAACCTCCTTTGTAGCAAGCTACCTTGCCTTCCTGGCCCGAAACCGCACCTTGATCGTTGACGGTCACTGCTGGAATCGCAAAGCCCTCGCCACAAGCCGCCACAGTTACAGCCTTGGATTGAACGAACCCAAGCAGAACTGTCAACACGGTAGACGTTGCATCTCCAGGCGACCGCCATTCAATAACCTTCAATGGTACAAGCTCGGCATGTTCTTTCGCCCCTCATAGAATGCTCCTCTCACATGTGACGTTGTTCGTCTTTGTCTTCTTCTTCTGCTGGGCTTGAGGAGCCCCGAAGGACCCCCGCGGGGATACCTTGACGTCGCCAGCTGGGCTGCTCGAGTGTGAGGAGGTTGGTCTTGTGCTTTTCGCCCTTAACCCACCCCCTTAGTTCGCCCCAATTCCACCGGCCCCGTGTCAGCCAGGTTTAAAGGGACCTTTGTGTCCTTTGTTTTCCGAAGAGCCGCGAGGGCCCGCTTCCTGCTGGTGCAACCCTTAAACTTAAGACCTCGGTTCGCCAAGGGTTTCGCCGGCACATCTGTTTTGACGATCTCGCTCGGCTCTTTTCACCAGACCAGCGGGCACGCGGCACCACGGTGGTAAGGACTTCTGCAAATGATCTGCCGTGTCAGGATCGCATCCAAGGTGGTGCACAGAGAGGTAGCTATGCACAAATGGATGGCTACGTTCTCACATGACCTGGGCTGTGCGCGGATTTTGGGATGGCGGAGTACTTTGTCGAGCCCTTGCTGCAGTACGGATTTAGAGATTTCAACGATTGTCTCTAGCGGCGGCTGATTGGGGAACGAGACAGGACGAGCCACCGAACAAGAACAGCCTTCTCCCCCCCCCCCACCCCAAACCTGGATGCAGCCAGGTGGCAAAGCCTGTCTGCAAGGGCAGCACCACCGTCTGCACCGTGCCGTGTTCTGTCATGGATAGCTTCTTGAGGGTTTGGGGGTTGAGGGTCGCTTGAATCGTTAGATCCTCAGAACCTGGACCACATGCTTTCTTGCAACCGAACAACAGGGTTCCGAACTGGGAAAGCCTAACCTTGGTTGCCCAGTCAACTGCCACTGAGAGGTAACACATGCATCCACATGCAAAGGGCTGCTGGTCAGATTCGCGAAATTCGGCTGTAGAATACCTCGATACCAACCGCTCGTCATAGCAAATGATATCGTCTTATCGTTTTACCGCGCTGTTGCACAAAAACACCCTCAAAACAGAAGAAGATGCTTTAGATGGGCTAGAACCAGAACCCTGCAAAACCCTGTCGTTGCTTTTTACCTTTTTGGTTCGCAAACTGGCCACTCCTCCTGACCACACCCTACTAAACTGCAATGCATCAAGTCCCGCCTGTCTGGATGGGCATCACCGTCATCTGTCGACCCTGACTTGAAAGTACACACGTGCGCACTCCGACAGGGACGTGTGCGAGGGTCTCAGATGGTTTCTATGTCAAAGGCTTGCAGGAAGCCTTCGGCAGCTAGAGCCACAAGACATGATAGCTCTCTAGCTCGGACATGTCTCAACCCCACTGAAAACCTGAAGCACAGATTTGGTGAGGGAGCTCCGAGGCAGCGGCATCGATCACCAGCTTGCCTCTCGACAACCCGAAGACAAGCGCCCATCGAACGCCGAGCTAATCAACTGACGATGCCCCCCGTGCTCAAGACACCTAGGACCGACAGCAACAAGCACCTTTCAACACAACTAGACTGTTAAGACCCCACACACACACACACACATGTCGTCCAAGCCCTGCAAACCTCAAAACGCAGAGTGCAGTGTGGCTTGCAAGGACTGGGGGCAGTTCAAATCACGAAACGAGTTGCCTCCTTCTTTTCGGGGCAACCTGGCAATCGGCGCCTTGCAGGAGCACCGAACAATTCACTTTGAGGCAACGCCCAAACCTTCCACCCCCACGTCGCTACGTGATTCCCGCGACACCCCGCACATCACAAAAACTCCTGTAACCGTAAACTGTCAACCTTGTAAGGCCTCAAAGCATCGATATGGATGCCTAAAGTGTATGTGAGGCCGAGAGTGTATGTCAAAGTCCTGAAGCTGACTGGTAGTCGACTTGTCGCCTGCCGACAGGTTCCTACGACAGCGCATGCAGCGCATTGCACGGCCGTGTATGGCCGGTTGTTCATCCTTAACATTCCTTGAGCCCACTCTGTACAACAAATGCAAACATATGCGCACACTGCCTTTTTCAGCTTTCGCCCATTGGTCGGCACCTGGCACCAGCACACACGAGGCGACCTACTTTCCAAAGCTGGAAGAACACTTTCGACAAGCAAAAAAAACGTTGCTGACCCTGTGTCCACATGTCCTGGTGCCCTAACTCCGGCTGCAGAAGAACTGATCGTAAGAATGCTTCGGTACCCCACACGCCTCATGGACCTTGACGGGCTCCGAGTGCTGGATCTTGGGCCAATTCTGGGCCGAGAGAGGGATACTCCAGGTTTCGGGGCTTTGGTTAAGCTTAGGGCTTTCTTTGGTCATACGTAGATCTCACATGACCAGTTGAGAGGGAGTGCAGACATTCAAGAACCTTTGTTGGACGAACCCCCCGGCTAGCTTTACCGCACCCATGAGCTCAAGCCCTTGAACCCCTAATAAGCCCCAATCCCAAACCCTGCCCCCTCATACCCTGAAATCTACACGGTTACTTGGAGCTACAACTCAGATCCAGCAAGACAGAAATGTAAAGAATCAAAATATGTACCGATCACGTGCACTATGCTCTCTATCGTTTCTGCCACTCAAACGAACCCACTGAGAGGCACCTGAGGCTCCGAAAGTTTTCGGTCAGCCTCGGAACACAAAAAACGTCAACTAAAGGCAGTGCACCACATGTACTTTGCTCCCCTGACCCCCTGACACGGGGGGTTTCTATGCAACCTGACGAAAATCCACTGGCTCTGTCGCTTCAATCTTTACCTACAAAACGAAGAGCAGACAAAGCTGAAGCAAGGTAGGCTCTGATAGACCATAAGCCTCATGCGTCTGCATGGAAGCTTGCTTTCTTGTGTCAATGCTGTTCCAAGCAACTCGTTCCTCTCACGAGAAGCCCCACTGGAGCTCCCAACGGTAGAAGCTGCAGAAGCGGGTGGCTGCTCCAACTGCTGCATGAACGAACCTGGGTGCTACAAATGCTGCTTTGAAGCTGCCGACAGCAGAAAAGCACAGCAATTGACCTTTAAAACCCCTTTTGCGAGTCAAAGGCTTTCCTGACTTAGATCACGACCAAGCGCTCACGGAAACTTCTGGACTTGCACAGGGCCGACCGCAACTTACCTAGAGGATAGTGCTCAGTGCTGACATTGGCGAAAAATGCGCAAAACCTCTGACCAGGATAAGAATCATTCTACGCCTACAATCCCAACAGTGTTGCGAGAGCCCTCTTCAAAGCGACGAGCCCAAACTCGAGGAAAGGGAGCCATGCAGTTCACCCAAGTGAACCGAGCGCAGCCCGCCACAAGTCCCGGACCAGTCAGCTGCACAGGTTCATTCGGGTCCACCACCAGAGCTTAAGCCGAAGAAAGACAGTCTTTGCGGCTTCGGTGAAAGAAGGGGTTGTCAGTAACAACAAGATCATTGATCCGAAGTCTCTAAAGGGGCAAGGGGTCCGTATCATCATTCGCCAAAACATGAGCTGAGCCTCTGCGCTTGGTGGCTTGCTGCAACTGTGCAACTGTGACGATTCCGACGGTGCGAGGCAAGAACCCGGCCTCTTGAGAGTGCTTTGCTCTGTGGGATCCTGTCCAAGCACACCAGCAAGACATCATCCAGTGACTCCAGTGGCTCCCGTGATTTCCCTAGGCCCTAGACCAAAGCGCATCCGAAAGCCGAGGTAGTCAGGCGGTCCTCGGTGATGCTTTTTCCTTCCCGGGGCATCGGGCCTTTGCGCTCGGACCCTGCTGCAGGATGGTGACCACCGCCATCCCAAGTTTCACTAAACAAGCAGGCGGGAGGAGTCGAACGCTGAGGCGGCTGCATTGCCAGCAGGGCTGCCTCCGAGGGCGCCTCGCTGGCTCCCTCTTTGGACCTGATAAAAATGGATTCAAGCTTAGCAAGATCAGGGTGCAGGGTACTATAAGGGTGGTCGCCCACGGAGGTGCACATGTCGTCTGTCGCCTGAAGACAGATATTGACGACACTCTGACGCCACATACTGATGCCCTCGACACCGCGTCGGTCCGCAACGCCTGATGCCATGTTCTGACGCCACGTCCAGTGACCCCAAGTGTCCGGCACACCACTGCCCTCGCCTCTGTCCTTCGGGCGCCGGTGAATTTCGCCGCGGGCTGGTGACACCATGCTTTGAAGCCACATCCGGCGACGCCAAGTGTCTTCGTGACGCCACGTGAGCCTAACGAGCTATACGCCACGTCCAGCGTGCAGTTGAAGACGTCCGGATTCACCAGCCCGTGCAGGTTCAGGATCTTGGGTTCGCGCGCACGCGCGAGTGCTCACGCACGCGGGAGGGACGGGCAGAGGGAGGGGACGGGAGGTGGGCATTTGGTTGTTGTAACATGCTGTAAGTCTTTGTAGTAGTGCTTGAGGTGTTGAAGATTAAGGCTAGTTCGGCTAGTTGTCCAGAATGTACGTTAACAGGCACATGCTCACTGCTTCGATGCCGTGCCAATAGTAGGCTGGGTGGCCGGAGTCCGCTCCTTAAAAAAACCGATAGAGGAGTGCCATGGAGTGTCCGGAGTGCCCTCGCGATGCCACGTGGTTTCGCCAGAGCTGTCCTCCAGAAGTGTCTTCGCTTGCCCACGCTCCTTCGCGACCCCACGTGTTTTTGCTGGACCTGTCTTCAAAACGTGTCTTCTCTTGCTTTCGCTTTTTTCGCTTGCCCACGTGTCTTCGCGACGCCACATGTCTTCGCCAGACCTGTCTTCGGGAAGTGTGTCGCATGCCCACGTCTCTTCGCGACGCCGCGTGTCTTCGCCGGACCTGTCTTCCGGAAGTGTCCTTGCGCGCGACGCTACGTGTTCAGTAGGATCCCCACCTGCTGGAAATCTCTTCGCCTGTCTCACATGCCTTCGCGACGCAACGTGTCTTTGCCGGGATTCGGTCACCCCCTATACCCTCCTCCCTCCTCTTTCAACTAACCTAGGTGGAAAGAACCTTGGTGTAGGCATGGATGTTGGGGACATTAATTGGGGTTGGAGTCGATAATTCGCTGGGAGCATGGCTGCGATGGCTGCGATGGCTGCGATGGCGGCAATGGCTGCGCACACGGACACAGGTGCCCCCCGGGCACTGGTGGCCTCAGGATTCAACGGCCAGCGCCTTTAGGCAGCTTTAGGTAGGTTTGCTGTTTTTGTGGGCTCACGGATGTCAAGGCTGCGATGCCCCCCCCCCCCCCCGCTGGTCTGTCCAGTCAGTTGAATGTGGCTTCGGGCTTTCCACTTCGGGCACAAGTCAAATTAACCCCTTTCCAGAATTGGCCTGGAAAGGCTCCGGCTAGTCAGTGCCACTATCTAGGAGTGTCTCGCCCGCATCCGTGAAACTTCCCCCAACGCTCAGTGAAATGCCCTCCCCTTCCCCCTAATAGTTCTACCCATAATCTGTCGAGACCTCGGGCCGTAGGTGTTTGGGTAATGCAAAGGTGATTTAGGAGCGGATGGCGCTTCACCCCCCCTCCACCCCCTACCACCCTCCTTGCTTGCTTGCTCTCTACCACTCCCACATTCGGTCTACGCAAAAGGAATGATGGTTCGAAGCATCTCAAAGCCCTGAATCCTAACAGCACCTTCACACCCGCGGTCTTCGGTTTGGGTTCCTTCGCCGCTGGGCAGGCCCAGCCGAGGCAAAATCACTCTCTTTCCATTTCTTTCTTTCGTGCGTAGGAGGCAGCTCCGTGTGCCTCTCTCTTTCCATGTCTCACTGATTTCATGTCATTTCATCTCATGTCGTTTCATGTCGTTTCATGTCATTTCATGTCATTTCATGTCATTTCATTTCATTTCAACTAATTCATTCATTCCTTCATTCCTTCATTCCTTCATTCCTTCATTCCTTCATTCCTTCATTCCTTCATTCCTTCATTCCTTCATTCCTTCATTCCTTCATTCCTTCATTCCTTCATTCCTTCATTCCTTCATTCCTTCATTCCTTCATTCCTTCAGCCCTTCAGTCCTTCAGCCCTTCAGCCCTTCAGCCCTTCAGCCCTTCAGCCCTTCAGCCCTTCAGACCTTCAGCCCTTCAGACCTTCAGTCCTTCAGTCCTTCAGTCCTTCAGTCCTTCAGTCCTTCAGTCCTTCGGTCCTTCGGTCCTTCAGTCCTTCAGTCCTTCAGCCCTTCAGCCCTTCAGCCCTTCAGACCTTCAGTCCTTCAGTCCTTCAGTCCTTCATTCATGCATTCATGCATTAATGCATTCATGCATTCATGCATTCATTCATTCACTCATTCTTGCATTCATTCATTCATTCATTCATTCATTCATTCATTCATTCATTCATTCATTCATTCATTCATTCAATTCATTCATTTCATTTCATTTCATTTCATTTCATTTCATTTCATTTCATTTCATTCATTTCAGCACCCATGGCCAATCTCTCGTCTGCTTCTTCTTATCATCCTTCTTCTTATGTTTCTTTTTCGTCTTCTTCGTCTTCTTCTTCATCTTCTTCCTATTATTATTCTTCTGCCATTCTTTCTTTACTTCTTTCTTTCTTTCTTTCTCACTTTCTTTCTTGCTTGCGCCATTTTCTGCCTGCCCTCCTGCCTATCTAAAGTCGTGGCTATAATATAGGGGTCAGGGTTGCAACCTGCCAAACCTGAACTCCCCCCAACATCTCCTCAAGGACGCAAGCCCTACAGACAGGAAGAAGGTGAGATAAACCAGGCAGGTGAGACAAGGGGCTCCGGGAAAGGCGGCTCTTCTCTGGCTGCTGCCCCTCCAGGCCTGAGTATGGAGCTTCTGTGGCAGGAAGCTCTGTCAGCAGTGGGTTACCTGGACCCTTACCACGGCAAGGCAGCTCTGACGACGCATGCTTTTCAAACCGAAGCCCTCCCGAGGACTTGAGAAGCCCGCAGATCCATTGCCTTTGGAGAGGGCGCACGCGGATCTGATCCGCCAGTAATCACACTCTGCCTTAGCGTTCTTTGGACTCACACTTGAAAAGTTGAGGACTTTTTGAACTTTTTGAAGCGCAAGATGCAAACCTTCAATCGAGTGCCGAGAAATTTCTGCAACCCAAGCTTGTCCAGATGACCAAGTAGTTTTTCAAGCCAGAACCCGAGGCTCAAGTCTTAAGTTTTTAGTGCAAATTTGATCTCAAGCCCTTTGTGAGACCCTGGCGTGCACGGCTCTGATGCTAGAGGCTCGCCCTCGGAGTCTTCGTCCCTTGCTGGCTCAGGGCATCTCGTGGTTGGCATGGATTAGGGGTGAAAGCAGTCGTTGATCATGGCTTGGAGCTTCTGCAGCTACTGACCCAGGCACTCCGATTTTGGACCGGTCCCAGCAGAGGTGTGTGGGCGGTGTCATGCATATGTGTCGCCAAGATTCCCTCTTGCTGGTTTGCACTTTCAGGCGCCTACAGCTTTCTGCAGCATGAGGTCAGCACTGTGTGGGTTGCAAGAAATTGAGGTGGTACAGGTTCAAGGTCCCCGTTTTGTTTTCCAACTGTCGGCTTGCTCCTCGCAGCCACGCGCGTTGACTAGGCAAAACCCCTTTGTGTTGCAAGTCGTTTGGGGTCTGGGGCTGAAGCCTAAACCCTGAACAATGCAACATTGCTGGTGCATAGATCCAATGGAGGGGCAAGGGCTGAGAAGAGACATGTTGCCACATTCAACTGCCCACGCCACTCACTTGAGCAAGTGTTCAAAGTGTTCGGAAAAAGACAAGTGAGGCCAGCTTGTGCACGTGCTGAAGGTGCAGAAGCTGCTTGGCGGCTGACATGCACGAAGTGTGAGCCTTTTGCTCCCAATCACACCTGCCAAGATTTCCAAAGGCTCAAGATCTGCCGAGCGAGGAATCGCAGTATGTTGCAGTGCTCGCATCGAAGCCTCCTAGATTGCAACCCTCACGAGAAACCATAAGCAAGCGGCTTGGGCAGCGGTATGCAGAGGTGCCCAAACCTCTGCCAAACCTCACCCTGAGATCGCAATTTGGCCACAGTACGCTACAGTGCAGTACTGGCCGAAGACACACGGAGATCTATCGCAACCACAATCCTCATACTATGCCATGCTACGACATTCCAAGTGCAGAAACATTGCAGATCAACATGCCCAAAAGTACGTATATATACTCCCTTGTGGCAACCGATGGCCTCTCTGCAATCTCGAATGCCACCTGACAGCAGGGTTGAATCCTGGCTGAATGAGGATTGCTGCTGCTTCCGGAGTGCTAGGGAAACAGGAGCACGACTGTGACGATGCGCACCAAAGGCCCCCCACGAAAAGAGAAGCCTCCATATGCCACACCTCAACATCCTGAGCAACAACGTCCACAGCGCGGGCCCCAAGGCACAATCTGTGCGCCTGTCTTTCTGGGCCCACACTAGGCTCCAGGATGGCATCCAACACTTGCACCTTCATGGCTCTTGAGTAAGGGGAGATTCCTTTCTCAAGAAGGGAACGACACAAAAATTCAAGGGGCATCAACCTGTCATAATTTGTCATTTATCCCGATGCACACATTGACTTGTCGGCGTGGCGCACCTCCTTCCTCTCCCAGCCCGACAGCACGAGCCCCTTGCCTGTTCGAAGGGGATATCCAGGATTCTGCAGATTCTGTACACTTTGTGCACGTCTATAACTTGCGCACATGTTGGGCTCAGGGATTCCAGCTGAATGGGATCTTTAGAAGCAGGGGCTTCGTGTAACCGAGTACACCTTAAGTGCTATCTTTCGTGCCACCTCTTTTCACACCTCGAAGCTCCCCTTTTGAATTCAGGGAACAAAACCGCCGAATCATGCACTTCACGGAGACGTGATCCTTTGGGCTTGAGCACACCTGACTTTTAGCACCCCCGAGCTCCCCACGCGGGGAACTTTTCACAGCATTCGGCATCGTGACCGCAAGGGCGGGCAGCGGCTTCACTTGCCCCGCCCTGGCATAGACTTCAGTGCAAAGGTGGGCATTGGATCGAAACATGTATTGAAGAGTATGGAGCAGTGTTGTATGCAAGGCAAACACAGAAAGACTGTCTGAGATTGCTGCGCACATGTGAACACAGCTTGAAGGCTGGCATGTACCGTTCGATTGCATCAAGGCAGTCCAGTAGCTTCGCCCCAGCAATCCAAAAACATTGCACAGTCCTGGCCTTTGAATTGGCGAGACATCGACAGCATCCTGGTCGCCAAGTGCTAGGCCCCTGAACCCAGTGTTTCTCATTGAACGCTGGGTTTAGGTTTAGGGGCCCAGTCTGGTGCCCAGCACTCAAGTTACCAAGTTCGGAGGTAGGGCAGAAAAGGGTTTGGGTGCTCAGGGTGCTACTGGCCGTTATTGCGCACAGGCTTCGTACGCTTCGACGAGCCAAACATATACTAGACACCTAAGAGCACCATGTAGGATGCCCACTTGGGACAGACCACAAATGAATTCTAGAGTTCTTCGGCCATCCCATGAAGCTACGTCATTTGAGCCGCCAGGCCCCAAGCAAGAAACTCGGGCCAATTCCAAACGTCGTCATGTGTGTGGCATTGCCTAATGTAAACCAGGCTAATCAATCTGCATGTTCCATCAGAAATGAGGTCGCCGAAATCAAGCAGCACTGATCCTGAAGCACTCATCCCTAACTTTGCTGCGTGAGAGATTCAGCCAACACACGCTGCAGGCGGACCGCAAGCCTCAGCTCCGTCATGTGGCTTCCAGCTGCGTGCATGTGCAGGTAAGCCAGTCACGTGAGCATACACGTCGCTTTCCACTAAGGAATGCACGATCTGCTCAAGCGCAAGTGCCCAGGTAAGGCGGCTGATGGGAGCGTCAGCACACCCTGGACAGTACTTCCCCAAGTGGCGCAGTGTATGAGACATTTTGTGGAACATAGCAAGTGATGCATCACGGGAATTCCTCATGATGATCTCTAAACAACGCACAGACTTCTCCCAACAACATCTTCTAATTGTAAAGCAAAACAAGTACGACCCATACATACGTGCATAAGCTTGGCTCAATTTTCTTCAAATTTGCGCCGGTGTACCACTAAGCCGCCTTGCTTTTGGGGCGAAATTCCTCGCGGCCGAAAGATGTTGGGGTCGCACCTTGACAGCACAATGTCATCTAACAACTGACTCTTGGCTGCAAAGGACATGGGAAAGAGAAGAGGGTCTGCACCTTGCATTTGGACATCACAAGCAAGAAACCAAACGATGCAAACGGTCCATTGAGACGGGTCCATTGTAGCACAACATCAAGTTTACAACAACGTTCTACCGATTGTCTTGTGACCTCGGTGACAAGCTCCATATATCAATTAAAACTTCATCTTGGCTTGCCAAGCCTAAAAAACAAATGTGACTACCTTGAACAGACTTGGAGATCGTGCTGACTGCATGCAAGTGGCGCTGGCACCACATGGCGCAATTCCTCACGCGATTATCGACACGTCCAGACACTGGAAGGCAACACGGTCCTGAGCTAGTGAACACAACTACCGCACCTTGCCTGCATCATGAGCGTTTGGCTTGCCAGGAAATCATTTGATGGGCTGTCTTGGGCACGGTATACATGTGCTGTGTGACAACTGCTGCTGTACACGACACGCAACAACTAGCGATGCTTCGGACTACAACTCGATAAGTCCAAACATGGTCGGAACGCGTGTCATGCCATGGCGGATCCTGCATGAAATGCCAAGAAGTGGACAGGCTGCATTTAAAAAAAAAAAAACATCGAACATCCAACTTGTCCAACCGATGCGACACTGGGCATCACATCCACATTTGAAAACGGAGGTGTTGGGCAAAGCTCATTCACAAATTCAAAACATCTCCTCTTCGATAAAGGAGAGGACTCTCGCACGTACTGCTACCCAATCTACTTGTTGGAAGGGCTCGTAGTCCTGGTGGGCCTGCACACCTGGCAATGCTACAGGGCTCGAACCTTGTCAGCTTTGTGGACAACACTGGCATCTTAGGTTTGTTCATCTGTAGGGCCTCTTACTGCTGTGCTCGACTGCACCACTTCGCCCCATTTGCGCTGTGTGTAAAATGAAATGTGCGCCTGGATTTTAGAATACCTACATGTAAATTTTACATACAGATTCGACATGTTCACGCTATGATTTTGGGCTTGACGCATTTTGGAAATAAGTTAAGTCTGCTCCGCAGGAGGAGGCAACCTTATTTCCTTTTTGCGTCATGTGGTTCATGCTTCGCTTTGAACAACTTACCCAAATCTGACTTGCATTTGCGATGCCTTGCTGCAACATGTTGTTCAAGCCTGACGTGAAGCATCAACCTTGCTTTCACCGACCCACCCGCCCTCTGTGTATGGGGGGAATGCGGGTCGCCTACCGACTTGTGCTCGGGGAGGGCTTGCCACCTTGGTAAAGTTGACCCTTCTGCAGGAGGGCTTGGGTGAAATTGACCTTCTGTAGGGCCTCAAAGAAGAAGCCAGGTCATGCTTTCAGACAAAGGACCAGGGAGTTGGCGTGCTACTAATGCAACTGGACACTCCAACCTCCCAGAACTTTTCTGTTCTGTGACCTTGGCCTGCCCAGGTCCTTCAAGCCCGCTACTGGCGAAACCGAATCCATAAAACCTGCCAGCCAGCACATCGCCATGGTCATGAGTGACACACAGCATCGTACGCTGGTAGAAGCTGCCACCACATGGGAAGCCACGCGCCTCAGTTTCTTTCGCGGGGGGGACAGCCCCTTTGAAAAATTTTAAATTTTCCCTTGACGGGCTGTGGACATTGCGTTGCAACCGTTGACACATCGCGGTCTTCCTACGCAGATCCAGCAACGTTCTTACGTCGCTTGTTAACGACGGTTGGAACATTGCATTTTTCACTGCAGCGTTCTTGTTTTGGCTCATGGTTTTGCTTCTGCCCCCTGAGTGCAGCGAAAGACCATCAACTCGTTCTTGCTTGAGTCCTTGCGATCCCCTAGCCTGGCGTGCCGGGCAAGTTGAGGCGAAGTCTCAGAGGTCCCTTCAACATAGCTCTGTGCGGATCAGGTCTGCGAATGTGTTGGTCGGAACAGGATTGTCACAAAGGTTTCTGGTCTGCCCTTCAGCCTTGTGACTTGAGCGTCGGCTTCGACTCCAACACCCTCGCAGTAAAGTGCCCGAGGATGATCGCGATTTCGTTCCGCGCTGCTGCAAGGGCCCATAAGCTTCCGGTTCGCGTTTTCTCTCCCTGCTGCTCCCAGGTGCAAAAGCCCAATGGCCTTAGTTCCACGATTTCTCTCCCTGTAGCTCCCGGGGAGCCATAGGCTTCAGGTTCGCGATTTTACTTTGTGCTGCGGCCATAGGCTTAAGGTTCGCGATTTCTGTCCTTGGTGCTTCCGGGTCCAGGGAACCCATAGGCGTCAGGGTCGCGATTTTGCTGTGCGGGCAGCGAGTTCGGACGTCTCTCTCCCTCCCCTTTTTTTTCCAGCAGGGACGTTGTCCCTGCCGGTGTTCCAGGCACTTCTCCAGCAGGAACAGGATTGTCCCCGCCGGTTGCAAACTGACGCGACCGGGCCACCGCACTAGGCCCTATGCTGCGACTGGTGCTGACAAGGGTGAGGGGCACACCAGAAACTTAAGCAGCAATCCAATACCCTAAATGCGCAACCCCTACAAATTCGTTTGCCACCACGCACAGAGCTGCACACAGACGAGCTCGCCAGGCTAATAATAGGGAAGGTTGGCGGTTGGTTCGTTTTCTCGGGTGGTTAAAATTTTCCGGCTGGTTGAAGTTTTCTGCGATTTTGGCTTGTGTACGCTGTGAGAATGATCTGTACACACTGTACAATGGACTATATACACTGTAAAATGACTGTAGACACTGTAAAAATGAACTGTATACAGTCTGATTTTTGGTCACAGGCGCACAAAAAACCTGGAGACTTGAAGCATGCGACGTGCTTTTCGCTCGGGTTTTGGGCACGTTGTGCTCGCAACTCCATGGCTAAGCCGACAACCAGAGAATTAGGAAAGCATGGGCTAGTGTTGAAACACCCACTAAAACCGACGTTTTCTGCACATGCAATAACATTTCGCCTAAAAATCTGAAGATGAGAACAAAAGTACACATCGCTCCTTTCGAATCGGGCGTTCTAGTGAACGGCCACAATGGCAGCAAACAAGCACATAAAACCATGGAGTTTACGATGTTTTACGACATGCACACAAGGGTCAGCTTTGTGCGTTGTTACTGATGTTTTTCTGTTATGTTGCTTCTGCTGGCAGTTGTGAATGGTTCGAGCGTCGTTCGCATAAGCCTTGTGACAGCGCGTCTTGTTACAGAAAGGCAAACATCCTGGTGCAGCATGTTGTGTCGAGGAGCAGAAACGCTGTACATTCCGGTGTTTTCGGCATGGATAGAGGAACATGGTCGCAACCAACCCCCCCGGACGTCCCACAGCAAGAAACACTGTCAAAACCAAATCGAAGTCTTGTGACACTACAAAAATCTGAGCTATACATGTCACTCCTTTCATTTCGGGCGTTCTAGTGAAAGGCAGCAATGGCGGCAAACCAGCACAGAAAACCATGGCTTTTACGATGTTTTACGACATGCACACCAGCGTCAGTTTTGTGCGTTTTTGTTCTTTGTTCTTTTATGTTGCTTCTGCTGGCAGTTGTTAGTGGTTCGAGCGTCATGACGACACACCTTTCGCATAAGCCTTGTGACAGTGCATCTTGTTACATAAACGTCAAACATCCTGGTGCAGCATGTTGTGTAGAGGAGCAACAACGCTGCAAATACCGCTGTTTTGGGCATGAATAGAGTAACATGGTCGTAGCCAACACCCCCGCACCCCCCCACCCCCCCCCAAAAAGGAAAAAAAACAATAAAAAGAAAACTCTCCAAAAGTCCACGAAACAACCAGGTTTTTTACGCGCCTGTTTCCTGATTTTTGGCTGTGTTTCGACCGTTTGCACTGCCCGATGACTCGACCGGCCGACAGCGGGAGTATTCCCCCACTCCGGTCGCCGACATGCAGCAGCACATGGACCATCCGGCAAGCTGGAGTATTCCCCCACTCCGGCCGCGGTCATGCAGGAGCACGATGGATGAAAAGTGTGCCAAAGTGTGCCCATTGTGTGCCAAAGTGTGCCATCCGCGGCCCTCCCCCACTCCGGCCAGCAGCGTTCCGACCACGGCCCGCTCCCCACTCCGACATGCAGCAGCGTTCCGACCACGGCCCGCTCCCTCCGCTACCAGTGTTTGCAATGAGCAAGAGAACCGAGGGGGAGGGGTCTGCAAGATGAGCATCAGGTCTTGAGCCATGGCGGAAAGGAGCAAAAAAACACCGGGGAGGGGGATGAGTTCACCGACCATCAGAACAGAACCCCTCCAAAAAAAGTATAGTGCACAATCTTGAGTTCACGCTCGGACAGCCAACATTTTTTGTGCAAGCGAGCAGGCTTCTGTACGGTGTCTGCTGAGCAAAACGTTGCGCTCGGGCTTCTGCACGCAGCCCGCTAAGCAAAACGTGGTGTTCAGGCGATCTGGCTTCTGTACGCCGGCCGCTGAGCAAAACGTAGCACGGCCTGGCAACTGCGGTGGTGTTTTATACTCGGTCACACTAACAGAATACGGAATCGCACTCACCAAGCGGTAGCAACACCGTAAAACAAAAAAACTTAGAAGAAAAAAAAGCCCACAACGAACATTGCAGCACGCTATAAGCTAAAAAATCACATGGCCGCCGCAGCCAGAAGAAACATCATCAAACAAGTCTACGAGAATCCCCGAACGGGCTTTGGCAATCAGGAGCAAACCTTGAGACAGGCCAGAGCTCAGGATCCCACCATAACCAGTGGCGAAGTGCGCCAGTTCCTGGATTCACTGATCGTTCGTCAAGACAGGCCGGAAAGGGGGTACAACAGTTTCGTCCCTCCACAGCCTATGTTTCAACTACAAGTGGATTTGGCTGACATGACGGCTTTCGCACAGGGACCAGTTTTGCATGACGCCCCGCCGCCCAAGAAGGTCCGACGAAGCTCAAAGTCTCGTTCTGAGAAAATGCAGACTCCGTCACTGAGTGTTTCGCACAGGGACCCTACAAGCACATGCTGGTAGCCATCGACAGCTTCCCTAAGAAACTCACAGCTATTCCCATGACCAACAAGCTGGCCTCCACAGCGGCGCAAGCCTGGAACAAAGTGGTCCAGGACCTCGGAATCCCGCTGAATGTTTATAGCGACGATGGCTCTGAATTCAAGCGAGAGTTCAAAGAGAGATTAGATTACTTTGATGTCGACAAAATCGTGTCTAGAGGACATGCCACAGTTGCAGAGAGAGCCATCAGAACGATAAAGGAAGCACTGACAAGACGTCTCACTGCGGGAGTGGGGCGTAGAAACCAGTGGCATCTATTGCTCCCCGATATCATTGCACAATACAACGAGAAACCCCACGCAACAACAGGATTTGCACCACAACAGGTATACCACGATCCTCAGAAAGCTGTGAGAGCTTTGACTCGCATGAAAAGGAATGCAAGAAGAGGAGCTGAGCCGAGACCCGAGCTGGCTGTGGGAGATCTCGTGAGAGTCCGCGTCAAACCTATTGAGGGTCGGGGGTCTTACAGGGTTACAGAAGTAGCATGGTCAGAGAGAGCCTACACCATCTCACAAATAGAGCACACTGAAGGTGGACCCTACTTCTACCTCGGCTGGTATTGTGTGGTTGGTACTGTGCGGCCAGTGATGCTGATGTGATTGTTATGATTGCTGTTGTTGCATCTGTTGTTATTGTTGCCGTCGAGTGTTGCTGTTGTTTGTTGTTGTCGCAGGGCCGCACTGCCAACATGAGCATAGTATACAAACGGCATTGCATGATGATAGCATGGCTTGGCTTCCGTGGCTTCGGCTTGGATTTGTTGCAGTAGCGGGATTGCCAGAGACCAGCGCACCCAAAGACTGGAGCACCGGAGCATCTGCGGGCAGCAAGCTTCTTGGGCTCGGGCCGGCAGGGAGATTTGTATTGATTCCTGTTTTATGTCCTGCTTGTGATCCTTGAATCAAACTTGTTCTTGAACCTTAACGTCATTACCCCATCTTTTCCATCTGACATTGGAGCACAAGGAGCGGTGAAACCGACAACCGCCACACAAGAGAATGAATGAGATATCAGTACACTTCTAGAAGACTATACTTCGATTATACTTTCAAAAAATCGCTCAAGCCCCCAGTCTGTGCTACAATTCCCATAAAAGCTCGGGCTCGCCACTCAGCGAAAATGCGCGCAATAAAAAATCCAACATGGTTCGCGTTCCATCTCATTTTCGGAGGTCGATTCAGATTCCAACTAATGTGAGTCAGCAAGCCTGCGATGGATTTGACGGCGCATCAGGCTGCACGGAAAACACCGGCCTGGCACAGAGCGCCCATTTAAAATGGGAGACTTAAGACTTGTTCGTGCCAAGTTAGGTCTGCCTGGCCCATGCAGGTCATGTAGTCTGGCCACGCCAGGCTAGGTAGCTGTTTCTTAGGAATACAAATAATCAAAAATCGAACATTATTTCCGAGTATCCCTAAGACATGAGCAAGGCCCAGCCTCCCAAGGAGCTTGTCGCCATAGCAACGGCGGAAACCTCTGCAAAGGCAGGATGTGGGAAGCAGCGTTGCCAATCGGTAAAGACAATGCCACTCTCGCAACGCAGTGCAAAGCAGTGCATTTTCCAATCTTGCCAGGGGCGCATTGGCGCAGATTTCCATCATCATCCATCAGTGGCATCCATCCAGTCATGCCCCGTTGCTCCCGGCATGACTGCTACTTGGACTAGGCTCAAGCTCACTGCTCCCTGGACTAAGCTCGGGCTCACTTCTCCCGGCATGAACATCATTTGGACTAAGCTCGGTCTCACTTGACGCATCCGCGGCACCGAAGCAGCACACATGGAAGACGACAAAGTAAATCACGAAGTAGATGATGTGGCACAGCGCGCACAGCATGCCAAACGCAAGGCACAGAATGAAGAATAACAAGCGGCCAATATTGCCCAGAAAGCGCAGAAAGGGGCATATCAGCATGGCACATGCATCGTCATCCTTGGAACAGAGCGGTTGAAACTTTGGACGCAGCTGCTCCATGGCTTTCTGAATGCCCTGGGCCACACTTGAGTTTATGATTGGCTTGGGCCACACTTGACTCGCCGGTTACGAATTTGATGCGCCTCTGCTGGGCCGAGGGTGAGCTTCTAAAAGAAATGCGTTTGGCAGAAAGGCTTCTGGTCTAAGGATCCCGCTTGGACTCTTAAATTAGCTTCCTTGTGATCAGCCGTGCATGTTGTGAAGTTCTGACATGTCCTGACCACAGCGTTAGATAGGCAGGCCGGCACATCTCATCACAAACCCGGTGGACAAGTTTTTTACAAACGCGCCAGCGCCAGCCTAGCATTTTGCAAAGCTGATGTGGCTGCCTCAGCTGCCTCCATTGTCCAGCGGAAGCCAAGGTTGAAATAGGCTTCTCCACTTTCCAGAAGCTCGCAGAATGCTGGTTCAACCAAGCTACGAAGCATCTGAGCATGACTCAAATGCTCAGATGTGTGCTCCTGCGTGCTCTGATGCTGCAGGAGCTGCTCTGCTGACTGTTGTGCTTTCAGCGCGCTCGGCCTTCATGGAATGTCTCTCTGCAAGGAGCTTGGCAGCACATGACTGGCTTTGACACACTGCGCCTTTCCAGCTGGAGTACCTCCCGAAAAGCTTTCGCTTGCGCTGTCTGGCGACAGGCGGCTCGAACCAAAGCAAATTGAGAAACCTAAGCTGTCAGCTACCGAAGACAAGGGCCATGCGGCCAAAACCTGCGGCAATCTGTTCCATGAATGTCCAACCCGAGGCGCGGGAAGAAGCGGAGAAGTCTCCATGAGCAGCCTTACAATCAACTCGTGTCGGCTCCACTCCAACCCCTAGCATACCCTATTCCATTTGGCCATAGCTACGTCAAAGCACTGACGTCAGCACTTTACTACCCACAGCACTGGAGGCACGAAAGGTTGAAGCTTCAAGTCTAGGTTGAAGGAGCTCGGTGTATTGGGGCTGCGTAGTTTGAGGAAAGGAAAACAAGCTGCTGCCCAAGCACAGCGAGCCGACAACCTGCCATTCGTCCGTCTTCGCCAGACTGTCCGGGCACCTCAGCTTCTTGCCCGCATGTGGCAAGGAGAATGACCATGTGACCATGATTCATCAAGCTGTTCAAGCTGTTGTTCGTGATCATCATGAATAAGGGCCGAACAGCGCCGTGCCCCTGATGTCAATTTCAAAAAACGCCACGCTGAAACAGCAACACCAGAATATGATACCAGCAAATGGAAGCTGGGGCTGCGTCCGTGTTTGTTCTTCGGCTGTAGCAAATTCTGCTTCACAAAGAACCTGGTTTCGGGGTCGAGCGACTTCTCGCGCACAAGGCAGAAGCTAAAACACCCGCCTCATCCGATGTAGAGGCACATGCCTGTCCAAACATCAATCAGCTGTCACAGATGCCGCGAGCTCAAGTTGAGGAACTGATGCACCTGGCAAGTCAGCCTCTCTCCCAGATCGCGGATCGTATCAAGTGCGAAGGTCGCAAAGAGCTCCGCAGCAGCCTGTTGCAGAGCTGAAACCGCAACTAATGGTACACTGCATGCCCATCTGCATGAGCGACCGAAAACTTCAGCAGCCGCGACTAACATTGAGTGCAACTCTGTGGTCCCACCGATGCCGCGATAGCGTCATGCACCAAATCATGTAACACAAACTGCAGTCGGAGCCACACTGGTATGCTGGCTGACGTCGGTCAACCAATCCATTGCAAAAAGCACCGAAACTCACTAATGTCGACGTTAATGTGTTGGTGACCGGCAGGAGATGCTTGAGTTGTCCAAGCCAAGCTTTGAATGGTTTCGTAACATTGTTCGACTAAGTCAGTTGCATGATACGGCTATGCGAGAACTGCGGGCCAACACCGATCTTGGAGAGCCAGGGAAACTGATTTGAGAGTGGTTCTGAGTCATCTGATCTCAGCTGTAAGGTGTAGTTTAGCGCTTGATGGAATTGGGCTTTTGGGGTTTGGCATGAACAGAGGCTCTTGCCACTGTGAGCCTTGCATCTGAAGTGAATCTTGCGTCAGGCAACTGCTTCCGCACAACTATGATAAGCATTGCTTGGCTTGTATTTTGCACGTTCAGGACTGTTCGCACACAGTCAGCGGAGCCTTAGGAACTGATTTGGTCCGGAAGTGGACGATCAACGTACCTCGGCATTAATGATGACCCAGAAGCAACAGTTATGGTGCAAGTCAGAAACTTAGCTGTTCTTGGAGCCCTTTCCAAATTGCAAACGCACTTTAAGCACTTCAGGGCTGCGGTTGATGTCCAATCATCCAAGATCGCTTACATACTGGTGTCAGTTCCAACACCCTGCCTCGATGGAACTTGCTTCTGTAGCGAGTTCCAGCGCCCTCTCATGAGGAAAATCTGTACATGTACATGTGATCTCAGCCTCCCAGACAGGCTTGGCAAGGGGTAAAGGTCTGAATATTGTTTGACCTGCGAATGTTTCCGCAATCTGGGAGGTGATATCTCTCACCACGGCTCGTGGCAACTGAAATTTGGGCAGGCACACGTCTCTGGACCGGCCTGACTCTGAGCTGTCTGTTCTCAGCCCTTACTTGATACAAAGCCTGCTGCATTTGTGTAATCTCTTGCCTCCTTTCGGCAAGAAGTCCACGCAGTTCTGTACAGCGGTCCACGTACTCTTGCATGAACCTTTCCTCACTTTCCTTCTGCTCTTGTGTGACCACCTTGACGTCTCCGGTCTGGGTGCTCTGCGAACAGGTCGTTGTTGTACTCGGGAAGAACTTGCTCAAGCCCCACTTAAGGAGCTTCAGGACTGAGCACGGCACCCCAAAGAAGACTCCCAAGGTAACCAAACTAACCCCAACCAAAACTGCTGCAGTGTCGAAAGCCTCAAGGTCCCACAAAGCCACCACTGGCGCAGCCAAGCTCAAGCCCTGACCTCCTTGGACCTGGGCCATCAGCAGAAGGATTGGCATGAGGTTGCCAAGCTTCATCACTGAGCTCGCCCTGGCATCACTTTTGCACTCTTTCAGCAACTTCGCGATGGCACGTTTGTCATCTGCTGCCTGCTTGTCCTCCTGGCCATAAGGCTGTCCATTGGGGAGGACGGCTCCCATTGTAAAAAGGAGCTCTCGAATCCTCGCTCCCCCCAGCGGTTTCGTACCCAAATCACTCGGGTTTGAGGTTCCAGCAATACTTGACACAGCGATGACATTGTCCTTAACAGCTTGTTGCACCCAAAGCAAGCCACACTGAAGGTGACGAACGCGACCACACCCCAACCGCTGACTTATGCCTTTGCAGGCTGCGCTGTCTGTTCTGCACCGTGTTTCGACCTTGTACTCGCCACCGACAAGGAAGCGGATGCAGTCGGCGAGGTAAATGGCTTCAGCAGCGCCACCGACCAAAGCCACAAACTCGCTTTCACCTGAGCTCAGGGCAACGCTCCGTTGACTTCTGACGAAGCTTGACACAAGGCTGCCCCCGACATAAAGCTGAGCTGATGTACGGCTCCTCCTTGTGCGCCGGCATCCGGCCCAATCCGCGTCTGTAATGGACTCCACAATGATCGCGCCGTTGGGGACGCAAAGCTTGCCATAACCCTCAAAGTCAAAGGTCTTGCCATTGCCGATGGGGTGGATCATGAAGCCAATCTCTGGGGTC